TGACCTGAGCCAAAATCAAGAGTCGGCCGCCCAACCGACTAAGCCACCCAGGCACCCCAAAAGTGAGATTTCAGGGTGCCTGGGTAGCTCAGTTGGTTGAGCGTCTGCCTTCAGCTCAGGTTATGATCCCAGGGTCCTGGGATTGAGCCCCGCATCGGGCTCCCTGCTCCGTGGGAAGCCTGCTTCTCCTTCTCCTTCTGCCTGCAGCTCCCCTTGCTTGTGCTTTCTCTCTGTCAAATGAATAAATAAAATCTTTTTTTTAAGTGAGATTTCTTTTTGTCAGAGAGGGCCCTTGCACTTTGGCTTTTATGCAGTCTTATTTTCTGCTGCTTCTCTCTCCTCTCTGTAGCTCTTATACTCTGGAAAGAGCAACTGTGGAGATCCCTCATTTAATTCAAACACCTAAGTAGCCATAATTAAAGCTTATCCCACTGGGGAGGGGCACTTGGGGGTCCTGGAATTGGGCCTGTGTCGGGCTCCATGCTCAGCAGGGTGTCTGCCTGAGGATTCTCTCCCTCCCCTCCTCCCGCTCATGTGTGCATGCATTCTCTTTCTCTCTCAAATAAATAAATTTAATTAAAAAAAAAACACATCCCACTGGGGAGAAAAGAAAAATCCCAAGTGGGGTACTGTTGCCCCTGGGCAAGTAACTTTTGTCTGGAAAGTTGTGGGCTTCGCACTTAGGCTTAAAGATGTCGTATTTTCTTTGCCTGACCTCCCTCTACCAGGTTATTGAAAGCAATGGGATGGCAGGAATATCCTGAAAATGATGAGAATTGCCTCCCCCTCACAGAGGATGAGCTCAGAGAGTTCCACATGAAGACGGAGCAGGTATGCCGTAAACCTTCCCTGGAGATCTGTTAATGACTAGGAGAGAAAGGAACAGGGCAGTGATTGCCCTTAGAGAGCCTCAGTTTTGTGTGAGAGAAGGGACCTTGGAAAAGAAAATAGAAAGTAAGTTGCCATAGTAGAAATACAGAAGAGCAAATCAGTGCCTAGGCAACAGGGATCTCCAGTAGTGGATACAAAAACTGGGTCAGTAGTTAGCAGATTCCAGAAAGTAGTATGTTCTTTCATCCTGGCAGCTCTACCCCCTTATCAGAACCACAAGGCTGTGTTCCAGGGTTATGGGCTGAGCCCTGGGTCTCTAGGGAAGCAGGCTTATTCCCACCGCCTCCAGCCCTGTGGTTTCCCTCTGATACTCTGGCCAGAGCCAAGAAACTACCTCTGAATTTATCCAACAAGTGGTTCGATGCTTCCTCTGAGTGAAACACTGCCAGATCCTGAGATTTATAGCAATGAACAAGGTAAATGGAGTCTACAAACTTCATGGAGCTTATATTCTGGTGGTATTTATATTTATATTTTACTTAACACTTATTTTTATTTATGGTATTTATATTTAAAGCACAAACTAAGTCCTATAAAGAGAAATTACAGCTGACATAAAGACTCTGCTCTTCAGAACTATTCTCTCAATCGTTGTCATCACCTGAGAACTTGTAGAAATAAAGAATCTGAAACCCTGCCTACTGAATCAGAATCTGCATTTTTAAAAAAGATCCGTAGATGATTGATATGCACATTAAAGTTTGAAAAGCACAGCTATAAGAAATCTTGGATCTCTTAGAAGGGCCCCCTCTACATTCTGCCTAGAATTGAATACCTGCCTTTTCCAGGTCCCACTGCCAGTGTAGTCTTTGACGGTTTACTTTTTTCTTTTCCTGCTCACCATAGCTGAGAAGAAATGGCTTTGGGAAGAATGGCTTTTTGCAGAGCCGCGGTTCCAGCCTGTTCTCCCCTTGGAGAAGCACTTGTAAAGCGGAGTTTGAGGACTCAGACACGGAAACCAGTAGCAGTGAAACATCAGATGACGATGCCTGGAAGTAGGCGTATAAATGCTCACAGATCTGACCCAGTAAACTCAGCTTGTGTGTTTAGGGAGTCTACAAAAGAAATCGTTCTTTTCCTTTTCTTCTGTTGTTGAATCCTTCATGCACAAGGGAAAATAATCATATCCCAAAGAGAGAGCAATTGGCTTGTTTAGCTTTTGTTGTTGTTGTTCCTCCCTGTTATCTGCTTAATAGAGAGAAGTTTGTGTGATGGGAAAGATTTTTTAAATACACACACACACAGACACAGTATCTATGGGGCGACACACGGGTGGGAGCTGCCCGTGCAGAGAAGGGAGGCTGGTCAGCCCAGCCCTTGGGGCGCTCACCCCCGTGCTCAAGCAATCATTGTCAATGACAAAGTGACTATTGAAGTTATAATTGTATTAAATTAATGCTAATAATCTGGATATTTTATTTTATTTTTGGCTGCTCGGGTAACGTTAGCCCATAACCAAGCATACATGGTTTTCTTTTTTCTTTTTTTTTTTCCTTTTTTGGGTACAGCTGTAAAATATTTGGATATAGGAAATGTGTTATTCTTGCAGCCTTGATATTCAGGGTGGATTGTAAAATATAAATTTTTGTGAGATTTCAAAGATTAAGATTATTTTGATAACATTATTTACAGATTTAAAAGATGTGGTTATCACAAGTCTGTTGAGGGGGAAAACTACTGCATAAAATAACTAACTTGGAATAAATATTTTGCATCAGTTTCGATCATCTTGTGTAAGAAGTATATTTCCTTTAAAACTAGATGAGTGGATTCTTTGAAGGATATACTTTTAGAAGTCTTAGGGAAATCTGAATTAGACATAGTTGTTTCTCCTTTTAGCAGATACTTTTTTGATGCAGAAAAACTTGTGCAATAAATTATCAGTAATAAAATCAGAAACCCAAGTTTCCTTCCTGAAACTGATTTTCACTTGCCTGGGTATTTACCGGTGTGCATGTTTTAAGGAAGGTTCTGTGCCTCAGTTTTCCTGCCAGAGAGGAACATGGGAAAGGGTTTGAGCCAGTGCTGTGACCCGTGAAGGGTGACCAGTGGGGGAGGCACAGTTTTTCATTCAGCATACACTTCCCCAGCTCTCCCTGTACGCCAGGCATTTTGCAAGGCTCAGGGGGTGCAGGGAATGCCCAGCCCAGTAGAGAAGAGAATAAACAATTATATTACAAAAATGAAGCCTTTGGGCCAAAATCTTATGGACAAGTAGAAGTTAAAGTAAGCACACACTGACACTGACACTCTTTGGCCATCCCTACAGTACACGCTCCCTGGTGGACATAGAGGTCCAGGATCATTAATGGGAGACAACCAGCAGGGTAACAGCCCTGATTGCATGTTGGAAAGATAACCAACTTGTAGTGTCTCCAAAAGGGATAGAGGCTAGAGGCAGAGAGACCAGCATGACATTTGCTAGATTCTGTAAGGCTAGGAAGGCAGAGACCCTATCTGCCACACACTGTATTACATAGTCTCTCCTGCTGGTGTTATAAGCAGTCCATGTAGAAATGGTGGTTGGGATAGAGCAGTAAGAACTATCATATTTCATTGAATATATCTTTTAAAACATTATGTACTAATGAGAAAATTTGCCGGGTGCCTGGGTGGCTCAGTCCATTAAGCTTTTGACTCTTGATTTCTGCTCAGGTCGTGATCCCAGGGTTGTGGGATTGAGCCCCAGTCGGGCTCCTTGCTGAGCAAGGAGTCTGCTGCTCTCTCTCCCTCCCCTCTCCCTCTGCCCCTACGCCCGCTTGTGTTCTTTCTCTAATAAATAAATTAAAAGAAAAGAAAACTTGCCAGGTATGATACTCCATTAATTGTTGGTCCTGATTTCAGTATTAAAATGTGGGGGGGGAAACAGTGCATCTTAGAATCCGTGAAATACTATAAGATGAATATAGTTGCAAAAGTATTAAACTGGAAGTGAGAAGTTGGCTGAGATAGAGATATCCTGCCTGTGGGTGTTGAGCTTTGCCAGTTACTAGCTTTCACAAAACAAATTTCTTAAAAATGTGCCCTTTTTCTTGCTTGGAATTAAGCTGGCTGAGATCACATGCTTTGAAACACTTGTAACCTGTTGCTGGGTCACACCTTTGCCTTACATGGTGAGGGGGTTGCTACCGTTAAGTCCCTGTCTTGTTTAGAAAAGGGAGTTTGTTGAGAAACATGGGGCTAACTCAGAGCTCCTGATGGATACATATATTTGGGGAGGTGGCAGAGATCTGATCAGCACAAAAGTCTCCTGGTCAGACTTGAATGAAGGGGTACCTTTCTATATTTGATTCCCTCATCTGATAGATTCATTGTGTTCTCCCAGAACTTTAATTCCTTGGGCTGTGCAAATTATCATCCCTCTCTAGCCAAACAAAACAACCCCCCCCCAAAAAAAAAACCACAAAAGAAACAGGAAATCGGGATTAGGGAAAAACTGCTAGCCTTGGTGTGACTTGGTAATACAAAAGCTGTGGTTGCTTCCCCAGGGGCAGAGTGCAAGAGAAAGCTTTTCAGCCTAGGGGAAAGAAGATTCCTGGCAGAAAGCCCAAAAGGGCAGACTGCTTCCTCTCCCAGGTGTTCCCTAGAACGGAGAACAACACTGGGTAACTTGGGCAAAACAAGAACACACTGGGTAACTTGGGCAAAACAAGAATGGACAAGATGATACTTCCCTGCCAGAGACTGTTCAATGACCAGTGATGGGGACTATGCGACAGGGGCCCAGCTAGTCTAGGAGGCAGCCATTTGTCCCCCTTTACATAATGTAAGGCAGAGAAACCAAGATGTAGTGTGAAAAGGGACTTGCCCACGCTTATGGATTGAGGTGGAGCAGATGTTATGACACTTTCTCAAGCCAGGGGCTCCTCCCAAAGGTGACCAGCCTTTCCCCACCCATGCTCCAGGCCTGCCTAGACCTGCCTAGACCTGTAGTTGCTGCCCAGGGAGCTAAGTCTCCTCCCCAAACATAAACTTAATCTTGTAAACTCAGTAAACCTGGCCTTTCCGCTCTGCCTCTGGCTTTGTTTCATCCTCCTTTCCCTTTCCCCTGCTCTCTGTCCTGTCTCTTGCAGGTCTTGGCTGGCATGTCAGGAAAGGGGTCCCCTCCCATGGCCTCCTACTCTGGGGAGCCAGGGCTCCTGTCCTGTGGGTCCTGTGACATGGTTTTCCGCTCCTGGGAGCTGTTGGCCACCCACACTCAGCGCTTCTGCATTGGCCGTCTGACCCGAGAGGTAACACCTGGAGCCCACTTCTCAAAAGGGCCGCCTCTGTGGCCACATGGGTGGGTATTCAAGCAACTCTGACCCTCAGGATATTTCATCCCCACACCCTGTCGCCAGGTGGTGCCACAAGAACACCAGGGCCTCCCAGACCAGGAGGCCAGCCAATTGGCTACTAAGAAGCTAACAGAAGAGGTACTCCGGGCTTTCCCCACCGGCTCCAAATTTAGCAACCTCCCTAGGCCTACAGGTCACGCAGATCATGAGTCAAGGAGATCACGGAGTCCGCTATCTCCAGGTGCAGCGGCTGCGGCTGTACCTACAGGAAATGCGACCCTGGATAATAGAGGTCTCCAGGGGATTAGAAGGGCCCCGGAGCCAAACTGAGGTGCAGACTCAGGGCCCCACCCCCGAAGCTGCTGGAAGCCCTGGCGAGCGGCTTCGGGCGCTGCAGGGGACTCACGCAAAGCGGGTGGCGGAGACGGAGTCACAGAGCCGGGCCCTGGAGCGACGCAGCGAGGGTGAGGGAAATGGACCGGGGCGGGGGGGGGGGAGTTACGGGCCCTCCCCGCCCCTCTCCTTTTGGCTTTGAGTTTGTCGGACTCATTGCGACTCGGTCCCTTAACGCCTCAGAATTGAGCAAACGCCTCCAAGGTTTGGCCCAGACCCGGGGCGGAATATCACGCCTTTTCGGTCTGGAGCGGGAGCTTCGAGAACTCCGGGCAGAAGCCGGGCGAACGCGGGGAGCTCTAGAAGCGCTAGGTGCGCACGTTCAGCAGCTACAACCGGAGCCCGGGTGAGACCCTGGGTATTCAGAGCGCTGCAGAGCCGGGCTGGGGGCGGGTCCCGGTCTGGGGGCGGAGCCGCGGCGGGAGCCTCCGGAGGGCGGGGCCCGGGAAGCGTAGGCGCCCACGCAGCTGGAAGGCCGCACGTGTTCGGTCGGGAAGGGGCGGGGCTTCCGGAGGCCGGGCTTCTGGATCCGCAACTTCTCCTCCGCGCGGCTGGCCCCCGGCCCCAGGACCCGGCTCAGTGCCTTGCGAGAGGCAGAACTCTGTTGTCCGGTGCTACAGGCCAACCCAGGGACTCTGGCTGCCGAGATCGGGTGAGGCCCGGGGCCCGGGGCGGCATGGGCGAAGCGCTGATCAGTCCTGGAAAGACGCTGCCTTCTTGTCCCCTGCTCCCTCCCTAGGGCCCTGCGTGAGGCCTACGTTCGAGGCGGGGGCCGGAACCCCGGCGTTCTGGGCCAGATATGTCAGTTGCAGGTGGAGGCATCAGCGCTGGAGCTGCGGCGGCTGCGGACCCGCAGAGGTGAACAGGACAGCCTCTCGGAAGCGGTGGTCTTAATCCTGGGAGGAGAAAAGGGCGGTTGAGGGGAGCGTCTTTGGCAGTGGGGACCACCTGAAGGTGGAAAACCTGGGTGGTCTTTATGGCAATGACTAGAATGTTACCTGACAAGTTCAGCCTTGTCCAGAGAGACCTAAAGCTGGAGAGCTGCTGAGGATTGCACCAGCTGGTTACCAGAGGCCAGAGGTGACGGGTGGGACTTTTTCATCGCAGGAAGACGGGCAGGTGCCGCACTGGGGGAGCTTCTAGTGGTGGAAGCCGAAAACCGGCGCCTGGAGGCAGAAATCCTGGCCTTGCAGATGCAGAGGGGCGCAGGCCCTGCGTCCTGGGGTTAGCGAGCACCCTCGTGCCACACCACTTAGCTCTCCCCAGCAGGCTGAGCCCAAGGAGGGGTTTAGAGGGTGGGGAATGAGGCGTGTGTTTGTGGCCCTGTCCGTTCCTGCCCTCGCGCATCTCCAGGTGTCCGTGCGTGTGAGTTCAGCTCTCCGGGAAAGGGTATCTCGGCCCTGTTACTTGCTGCGTCCTGCTCAGAGATGCCCTACTCTTAACTCTCTGCTCCCAGGGCCTAGCGAGCCTCGACCCGTGGTGAATCCCCCCCGACGCCTGGGGAGGAGGGAAGATCCCCCGCGCCTCCCGCCGCCGGTGGCTCCCCCGCTGCCGCCGCATCCACACTCCACAGGCATCCTATTGAGTGGCACAGAAAAGGCCGTGAGGACCCAGGGGTTGGGGCCAGGGCAGCTCTGTTTTGTGTAGCTGGGGAAGCATGGGCACCGAGGAGGCTCTCCGCAGGAGTCCACTCTTCCCCCACCCACAGCTGCAGGTTCCTGGCACCCTGACCAGGAACCCTGGCCTGGATCCATACTTCCTCCTGCCGGCTCCTAACGTTCTGGGCCCTGCACCCTATGACCCTGGGTGAGGCCTGCTCCCCCTGTGACTTGGTCATCCCTTCTGATTAAGGAGAGACCCACTAGGAAGAGCTAGGATTGGGGAACTGACAGGGTGAGGGGAAGGGATGGGGGGCGTTGTATAGGTGCCCGCTGAGACCTGTGTTCTTCAGGGCTGGGCTGGTCATTTTCTATGACTTCCTTCGGGGCCTTGAGGCTTCTTGGATTTGGGTGCAACTCACGACTGGCCTGACACGAGATGGACAGGACACAGGAGGGGCCACAGCATTGCCCCCAGCCCTTTGCTTGCCCCCACCTCCAGCTCCTGGGCCCATGGGCAACTGTGCCATCCTTGCCAGCAGGCAGCCCGTACCCAGGTCAGTAGGTGGAGATTGACTTGGATGCCTTTTGTCACAATTGAGGCTTTTCCCTCATTTTGGTGAGTTTTCCCATCTGTATACAGGGCCACTGGTTCTGAGAGCTGTCCAGGAAAAAAGTTCTGGCTTCTGACATAGTTTCGGTTGTTCTAGGCTGTCACCTTCACCATCAGCAGCCCTGGTCTGTGAGCTACAGGCCTGGCAGGGGCTGGCATGGGCTAGGGAACCACAGCCGAAGGCTTGGGCCTCACTGGTGCTATTTGACCGGGATCAAAGGGTGCGAAGTGGCAGTTGGCGTCTTCCACTTCGGGCCCTTCCTCTGGACCCCAGCCTTACCCCTGGACAGCTGAATGGGATTCCCCAGGTGAGTGTGGACAGGGACTGGATCTCCTCCCCTCCAGGTACAGATGCAGTACCATTTCATCTCTCTCCAGGTAGGTGAGGTTGAGCTCTTTCTGCGACTGGTTAATGCAAGAGATGAAGGTGTCCAGACACTGGCCGAGATCAACCCAGCAAGTGCCCAGGAGTACCAGTACCCACCTCCGGTGAGGGACCACCTAAAGCTAGGGATACTGCAGGTGTGATTGGTGTGGTTAATTGCCAGCATTTGTTTACCTGCGTGTTCCAAGTAGTTTCTGTGAATTAACTCCTTTCTCATACAGCGTTACTAAGTAATTATGTAAACAGATAAGGAAATCGGCTGCACAGTAAGGTTTACTTGGTTTACATTAGTCAAGATACAAACCTCTTGCTAAAGATACACTTCTTCCTGTTCCAGATACCCAGCTCACCTGCACTGAAAGCAAGCTCCCTTGCCCCAAAAGCTGGCTTTGTTGACCCTCCTCCTCCTGCAGAAGAGCCCCCTCAGCAGCAGAGTCAAGGATAGATGGTTTGGGCCCTCATCACAGCTTTGACCCACTCCCTCTGGCTTTCTGAGTCTAGGAGAATGTGGTCATGAGTAGCTTAATAGGCTCAGAACTAGGACTTAGATGAGGCTTGTTGCCAGACCTGCAGCTTTACTACTACACGTTCTCAAGAGGGCCTAGAAGCAAATAGCAGATACAAGCTCAAAATAGGAGGTCCAATCACAGCTTTATCACCTTCCACAAATACTTGGCCTTTATCAGTTTTCCTCTTGTAAAACGGATGTGAGGATTAAATGGATGTCTCAAGTATTTTCAATATTGCCTGGAATATAAATTCTTTGAAAGATAAGCAGGGGGCACTCTAATTTGTTAAAGGAACTTTGTAAACTTACCTTTTTTTTGCGCTAAAGCCCATCTTGTTGCCACACTTCGTTCAGGACATCTTCCGGGAAGCCTTCCAGGCTATAAATATCCCCATGAACTAGGAGCTCCCATACCTTATACACTTAGAAATCTGGCTAAAATTTGATATTGGGCCTATCCCCAGAACCCAGTGCCAACCAAAGGTCAAAGGCCTAAAATCCTCAGGACTTGGAACATGGAATACAAGGGCATCGTCAAGAAGTTCAAAGCCAAAGATTTCTACAGCTATGAGTTACCATAACCAGCCCAGAAAAATTCCCTTTTCTCTTCTATTTAGGAAATAAAATATAAACTGGAAAACTGACATTCAATATTCAAATGGCAGGTTCTGACCTACTGTCTTGTCTAGTGCAGCAAAGTAACCCTATGGGTGGTCAGAATTACTAACTCCCTTTAGGTAATGTAGGGCAGGCACGGTTTGGAATTCAGATCAATAGTAACTGGTATTTAACAGGTTCTTAAACTAAGGGTCAGGGCTGAGGCAGCTCAGGCAGGGAGGGTCTCCCACTAGCCTTGCACCCTGGACATCCCCAGTGGGATGGCTTTAATATCAGTATCCTGAGCACCCTTTGACTGGGCTGGTGGGCCAGTTTCTACCTTTCAACCCCCCATCCCACACTGAAATGCTTCAGGTAGTTCGGGATCCCACTGGAAGATTTTTTTTTTTTCTTAAAGAAAGATTTTATTTATTTGAGAGAGAGAACATGAGAGGGGAGAAGGTCAGAGGGAGAAGCAGACTCCCCACCGAGCAGGGAGCCCAATGAGGGACTCGATCCTGGGACTCCGGGATCATGACCTGAGCTGAAGGCAGTCGCTTAACCAACTGAGCCACCCAGGCATCCTGGAAGATCTTTAAACACAAGTCCAGACCAGGAGCATTTTTTAGCATCTTTATTCAAGAGGTCAAAACTGCAGATGGGTAACAATTTAGATTCAAGTTATAAGATATATTCCAGCCTTTCTGTACAGAAAACAAAACTCCACCAGCCAGCCTCCCCACAAATTCCTCCAACCACATCCCACGTGTCCAGTCCCTCAAGCCACTTTCAAACCAGAAAGCTCAATTCTCCACAGTTAGCAGACCAGTTTTCCTCAAGGATCACTTTCCCCCACCCCTCCCTCACAAGTTTTCTTCAGTTCTTTTTCCAGGACAGAATTATTGACCCCCAATTGGAGACTAGGTGGGTAACAGTTATCACTCAAGGCCTGGCTCAGGTGGTTATCAGTTCACAAAGTCCACCAAACAGTATCAGCACCAAAGAGCAAGATCTTTACCAAGTCTTGTTTTTGTAGCCCCCATCAAGGGGACAGCACCACTGAAGGTTTGTATTTAAAATGGAAAAGATATAGCACCATTAGAAAACAAAGGGCCTGGCTATGCTTGATTTGACTGCCTCCACATTAGACAGACAGGAACTTGGATGGGAACTTCCAACAGAGATCAGTACAGAAAGGGGCAGGGGGAGTGAGTACCTTTGACAACTATATCAAACCCAGAGTGCTCCAAGGCACAGATTCAGCCAGTATATTTAAGAAAAAAAAAATCATCAAAGCCTCAACCTTTGCTTACAATCTTTATTGAAGTTATACAAAAAGAAGCCCCCCAAAGTGAAAAAATACATTATATACAAAAACACTTTCCCTCAGGAGGAAGGCTCTGCACCCTCTCTTAACATGCAGTGCTTTCAACTGTGGCTCCGGCCTCCACTGTCCCCTCCACTGCTGCCCGGCTTTCAGCCTGATTCTCAGCCTGGAAGATAAATAGGGGCCTGGGCATAAATGACCCTAGTTTAAGCCGTTCTGTCTTTACACAACTGAGTAGGCATCAAAGAAAGTGAACAGGTCTCCTAAAGCCTGCTTTGCTCCCTACACTACTAATAGGCCATTTCCTAAAGTCTCTCTAATAGGGCTGACAGAGCCAATGTTCATATGGTACTTGGAAAGGGAGCGAGCAGAAATCACTCAGTGGTCTTGCCAATTAAGTGCCTTCTCACACATTCTTTAGAGTGGGACCTGTGCTGTGTGTATAGTTGCCATTCGTCAATGAGACATCCTACATTCCATAACCAGTTTCCTGCACACTGTTTCTATGAGGGTTGCATACAAGTAATCCGAACAGGCTCAAGGTGAGGAACATGCACTTAGGAGGACTAGTTTCCCCAGGGCCTGAGAACAAGGGGAAATAAGGCAAGAGTCCAAGCCCTCTTAACTGCCCACCTCCTCCTCCATGTTTTCTGAAACTTCATTTCCACTGGAGACGGCATCCCCACTGCCTCCATTCACCTCTAGCTCTTGTTTCGCTTTCTTTGCATCATCTTTTCGGGGACTCTCTTCCTCTGGTTTCCTCTGAAGACAGAATTGGGAACGCTTCACAAATGTGCTGAATGTTTTTAAAAGTACTGCAAAAGTTTTTAAAAACCCCTTCATTCCTCTCCTCCCCCACTGCTGCCACCCCATGGTGCAGAAATCCTGAACACCGGGATCCACGGCTCTCAGGGTCTCTCCCATGGCCAAGGAAGCAGACGCCAACCTGTGCTCGGTACAATCAATTGGTCAGCCACAACATACCAATCCAGCCTCTCTAGGGGGAGGGTGGGGTGAGGGTGAGTAGATCTGAATAGTAACCAAACCCCAAGTTTATGAATCAGGACACAAAGGAATCAGTCTCCCACAAGAGGAAAAAAACAACTGTAATTGTAGGCAGAAGATGGACTCCTAGGAGTATCGATCGGCAGGTCTGCTGCTGAATGACTACTGTCAAAGAAAACCCACCAGCTTTGCAAGCTGAGCCTATTCTTCTCAGCTGCTTTCCTGATAGTCCTGGGCCAAAAGAGGCCTGGAAAACTGGTTAGAAGACATAGTCAAGTGAAGATTACCTTCATTCAAATCCTCACCAACTTTGCAAAATGAATGTCTTATTGCACCAAATATTAAGGAATGTATTCCTGGTGTATCATTTGAAGCAAAAAACAAAACAAAAAGGAAACTGGAAAGAAAACAGAAAAGAAATGACCACATGTAGATTTACCTTCTTTCTGACAAGGTGGGAGATATCACTCACACAATTTGATGAGGAAGCACCATCCGTTGACTTTCTACTGGCAACCTGACAAAAAGGACTTTGTTAGCAATGTACAAGTAGACAGGACACAAAAAAGCCTAATATTAAGTGACAAAAATCACCTGAATACTCACCGTGGAGACTGAAGTGCCTCCTCCACTAGGAGTGAAACCTGAAGTAGAGCTCTCCACCTGTGCAAGAGGTGACAGACCCAAGTGGGTCCCAGGATAGAACCCACCAGGTCACCCACACACCTACAACAGGTACCTACCATCCAAACTAAGACCTCAAATACTAGTGGGCCTCCATATACTAGCAATATCATTCCACCCCCCTCTACCTGCACTCGCCACCCCCAAACCAGGAGCTTAGGCACAGGGTAAATATTAAATTAACCCATCCATATCATCACCTGTGGCACTATCTATACAGAGGAGTTCTCAGAGATGGAAGTAATAGCTTACATTTATTAAGCAAATACTATTTGTACTGTCAGAAGTATTTTAACATAGAGATACTATTATCCCCATTTTACAGATGAGTCAACTAAGGCAAAGAAATGTTAAGTAACACGTCCATAGTCACACATAATAAGTAGCAGATATATAACCTTAACCCAGTCTGGCTCCAGAGCATATTCTCTCAAGCATTATACTACTTAATAGGAATAACTAGATAAATTCTCATATTCCTTCTGACCACCAACTCCCTGTAAACCGTATCACGGTTCCTAGGCAAACAGAACACTAATACCATGATGTCTTCCAACAATATCAACCATGCCATTATCCAAACTTCAAAAGGAAATCAAACCAACCAGAGTGGCTTTCAGAGCCAATTCAGCTACATTCCCACTACGCTGGGAGTCCTTTGCATCTTCTATCTTCTCTCTAATTTCAGGTAGCAGTTCCTTCAGCTCCTCAATTTCTTTCTCATATTCAGTAGATGATCCTTCAGCCTCCTTCAACTGCTCACTTAGTACAGCTACAAAGAACAGGCTGAAGTGATCAGTAATAGTTACCACCAAAGGATCCATTTTTTTTTTCATATTGTCGATTACCGGATCCAGTCAAGCTTATCGTCAAATAGCTGATGCTCACTCACCCATTCTCTTCTCAATGACTTCAATAGATTTGCTGAACTGTGCCACTGCCTCATCATACTGAGAGTTATACCCATAGGCCAAGCCCAGCTGGTAATGGGTCTCTGCAAGGAGACGATCATGGGCTTCCAGGTACTGCTCTTGCAGGTTTAGGCAAGCCTGGAACTCCTCCACAGCTTGGACATAATTCTCTAATGAAAAGAGAAAGAATAGCAAGCAAATGGACAGCATTTAATATATAATACTTCCAAATTGTAGACCATTCTACAGGAATGCTCTCCTGTTTTAAATTACGTCTCTTTGTAGCATCTCCAGGACACTGAACTATTATAAAAAAAAAAATATCTAACTGGGGCGGGGGGGAAAAAAACCCTACTGAAGAGACTTCAGAAGAGATGGTTCACTATTCTAGGAACTATAGGAACCCAAACCAACTGTCCTTTTAAAGCCAATTGCCAGGGGTGCCTAGGTGGCTGGCTCAGTCAGTTAAGCATCTGCCTTCCACTCAGGTCATGATCTCAGGGTCCTGGTATGGAGCCCCACATCAGACTCCTTGC